TGGAGAAAGGGACATGCAGCAGCAACAGCAGCAGCAGCAGCAGGATGAGCAGCAGCACCAGCAGCAGCACCAGCAGGATGAGCAGCAGCAGCAGCAGCAGCAGAGGCCGGAGGAGTGTTTGGTTCCCTTCGCTCTGAAGGTCTACCGGACGTCTATTTTATCGTTTAGAGATCGCAGCAGATATGTCCAAGGAGATTTCAGATTTGAGCATGCATACTCACGGTACCTTGCTGCTGCTGCTGCTGCTGCTGCTGCTGCTGCTATTGCTGCTGCTGCTGCTGTTGCTGCTGCTGTTGATGCTGGTTTTGGCCAGTGTAGAACAAGAAAGGTTTGTGTGTGTTTAGTTTGCTGCTGCTGCACCCTGTGTTGTGCTCGAGTTTCGCCCTTTTATTTGCTGCTGCTGCATTTGCTGTTGTTGCTGCGGCTGCTGCATTTGCTGCATTTGCTGGTGTTGCTGTTGCTGCTGCTGTTGGTGCTGCAGCAACCGGAATCCTCGTAAGATGGTTACTGTTTGGGCGTTGAAGGAGCACCGCAATCTGCTGCGCTTTGCGGCAGCAGGTCTTCCCTGTCCTGTGCCTGTCGCTTGCAAGAGCAATGTGCTGCTGATGCAGTTCGTAGGCACTGCTACCTACGGCAGCAGCAGCAGCAGCAGCAGCAGCAGCAGCAACGACAACAATAGCAGCAGCATGGGTGACTCGGGGGCGTCGAATGCTGCAGCAAAACGAGAAGCAGAAACAGAAACACAAGACCTGAAGAAATATGATGAAGAGACAGAGACAGCGACAGAAACAAAGACAGAGACAGAGAGAAGAGGCAAGGAGGAGACAGAGACGGAGACAGAAGAAGAAGGAGAAGAAGAAGAAGATGATGATGATGATGATGATGAAGAAAGACCCTGGGGGTGTGATGGTGGTGCTGCTGCAGAAGGAGCAGCAGTTGGTGCAGCAGCAGCTGCAGCAAACCGTCAAGAGGAGCTATGGTGTACAGGCAGCTTCTCGTTCCCATTCGAGCCTTCTCGTCTTTCTTATTCTGCTGCTCCTCGACTGAAGGATTTACCTTGTGTGGAGCGTGAATTTGCTGCAGCAGCAGAAGCAGCATGCGCGTGCTGCTGCAGCTGCTGCAGCTGGGGCAATACGGAGGCTCAAACTGCAGCAGGGTGGCGTCTGCTGTACGTACAGATGGTGCTGCTGCTGAGGGCTCTCTTCCAGCGATGCCGTTCTGTTCACGGAGACTTCAGTGAATATAATTTATTATATTTTAAGGGGATTATTTATATGATAGATGTTAGTCAAGCTGTAGAGAGGGACCACCCCCAAGCCTTAGATTTTTTAAAGAGAGATTGTAAGAATGCAACCGCTTTCTTCACGAAACGCTTGCAGGCATGCAACAACAACAACAACAGCAGCAGCAGCAGCTCCAGCAGCAGCAGCAGGAAGAGTAACAGCGGGTTATCTCTGTGCTTGTGTACGTCGCGATGTAAGAAAAGCAGGGCTCAGTGGACAGCCTTCCCCCCTCTCTTTGATCAGACTTCTCCTTTCTATTCTCCTTTTCGCTTCTTCTCTGTACGAGAACTTTTTGAATTCGTTGTGCGAGCAGACCTTCCTCCAGAACTTAAACTCTTCCTGCAGCAGCAGCAGCAGCAGCAGCAGCAGCAGCAGCAGCAGCAGGTCGGGGGAGGCGGGAGCAGCAGCATGGATGCTCGCATGCAGGAGGCGTTGGCGCAGTATTTGCTGTCGCGTTCTGAAGATCCCGGTGGGGGAGAAGAAGCTGAAGGAAGTGACAGCGAGGTGGTTGCAGCCAGCAGCAGCAGCCGCAGCAGCAGCCAGAGCAGCAGCCGCAGCAGCAGCCGCAGCAGCAGGTGCTCCCCAGTGGAGCAACAAGTTGCAGACGCGGTGTTTCTGCAGAGCTGGATCCCTACAACTCTACACGATGTCTCTGACTTGGCTGCTTTAGATAGATATGCTAAGGGGACAGCACTGCCGTATGATAAGGCGTTGCTGCTGCTGCATGATCTTGTACACAACCCCCCTACCCGCGAACGAAGCAGCAGCAGCAGCAGCAACAGCAGCTCCAGCAGCAGCAGCTGCAGCAGCACGGAAGACGCAGAGAGTAGTGGAGCCGAAGCAGACAGCAGTGAAGAAAGGAGGAGAAGGCCTCGGGGTCGTTCAAGAAAGAAGGAGGAGGATAACGAAGAAGATATGAAGTTTACTGGCGTTATACCCGAGGGGATTTCAAGAAAAGAATGGAAGAAGAAAGTAAAAGAAATGAACAAAGAAAGAAGACTCCACAAAATACCTAAACACCTCAAGAAGAAATTCCGAAAAAAAGCTGCCAACAGATAAACGCATGCATTGCTGCATGCATTGCTGCATGCATTACCTGCGGCTATCTTTAAGAAGATAAACAAATTCTCTTGCTTAAGAAAGCCAGCAAATCGCTGCAGTGTTTTTGGTTGAGGCTCCTCGGAGTGGCAAGCGAAAGGACCCTAATAATATTTCTATTACTGTTATTATTAGAAACAATAGTGAAATTTATTGTACCTAAACTTCTTCCAAATTCAGGTGTATGCATGCATACACCTCAGGCTCCCCTCCAGGCCTGCTTGCTGCCACAGTCGCAAATCTGTAGTGTAGAAGATTCCCTCTGCACTTCTCTTCAGACTAGGTCAGCCATTTAGTTTCTTTTGGTGTGTACGCGCAGCGTAGCCTGCATACTACGGCTACTCAAGCAGAGGAGAGCTGAGGCTTGGATTTACAGTCATCTTTAGATGCAGAAGTTAAGCTCTAGGGTCTGCCTAACACACATAGCAGACAGCGCTTGGGCCTACATCATTCTTTCAGTTCAGAATGTACTACAAACGGGCTAGAGGCTGCGGCTTTCTGCGAAGATTGACGCTGTTTGCTCTACTGCATCGACTACTGAAACAAGCGAAAAGGGATGAGTGACGGACAGGCTGTGCAATATATATAGCAGAAAAGCGTTCTACTGCATTCTGTAAGAACTATTTGCGTGTGAATAAACACGAAGCTGCTCTCTAAGAGGGATCGCGTCAGATGCGAACTCTTAAGCTTTCGTTCCAACAAAATATATTTGTTCTGTTCATGAAAATGCTCGATATTAACTGTGCAAACTTCAGCAACACGGCAAACAACCCGCCGTGACTGCCTCCAAAGTGAAAAAACGAAATGTATCAGTAAACAGGAGGCACAAATTAGTGCCGCTGTTTCGTTTGTTTCAGGTGTATGCGCACCGCACCCACCGCAACAGCGATTGGGGCAATGCTGCGGAAACGAAAAAGAGAATAATCTGCGTCAACGTTTGCGAAGATAACGCAATAAATTCATGGTCTTCTGCATTCCCTATGAAATCATACATATTTGCAAGAAGGACCACTGCTCGCTGACGCCTCAAGACGAATTCTGGAAATGCACTGGTTCGGTTTCCGTCACGAAGTAATCACCTTCGTTCAGATGTCGGAGGACATCGAAAGCAACGTGGGATGCCTTGCCACACCGCGATCATCTACTATAAAGAAGAAGGGAGAAAATATTTCCCCTCTTTTCGCGCACTTCATTGCGAGACAAACGTAATAAATGCGAAAGAATTAGGATGAATCCGCATTTTCCGTATGCTGTTCGCCTTTGTTCTCCTCGTTCATCGTGCAGAAACCTCAACCGAAACCTCTTCATACACAAAAACTCTGGACGCTGCGAAAACTGGGAACCCACGGAAACCGCACCACGTTACCTAATGCAGGGCGCAGTTACCTCATTACGAATCTTAGTCATCATCATCATCATCCGAGAAAAACACGTCCTCATCACTCCAATCATTCACACGAACACGAGCAACCCCCAATCGGCGATAGCGATCCCACAGCTCTCTCCACCAATCCAAAAGATCATTAGCCGTATCTCTCTGTCGCTTTACCTTCAACACCTTCAGCAAAGTTGGATCCGTGACTTGCTCTTTCCAAACATGCAGTGGGTCATCAGGCGAAACGTCTTGCCATGCCTGCTCGACAAAACCGAGAAAATCACGCGTACCCATTCGAAGAATGTCTACTAATGGAATTCCTTCTTCCCGTGGTGGTCCTATCTCTTCTGGCTGCTGCGGTTGTGATGCAGACTCTTCCTTTCTACTTCCGCCTTCTGCCGACTCTGAGACTGCTTTCGCAGCAGCAGCTACGCCTGAGGGACCATGGAAAGGCGGCACTTTCGCATGTTTACCACGTGAAGGCGTGCCGCTTGAAGGCCCAGCACCCTCTGCACCAGCAAGAGTGCCAGCACCCTTCTTGCGGGGGATTCCACTGCGTTTTTTGTGCTTAGAAGACGATTTCTCAGTGCCGGAGCCCTCTTCACCAGATGGAGGCACTCCTCCTTCACGGGACTTAGGGCGTGCACCCCCACTCCCACCCCATTGCGGTCTAAAGATAGGCGCACGACCAAGAATTTTGCTGCGCGCGCCTGGGAACCCCCCGGGACCAAACGGTCCCGGGGCAGGCGAAGCGCCTGGCTGTGCAGCAGGAGGAGGAGGACCACCAACTTGCCTTGACGCAGCAGCAGCAGCAGGATCAGCAGCAGGAGCACCACGTGCTGCAGGCGCCGGCTGCTGGGGCCCTCTCGTTGAGGGAGCGGGTGCACGCTTAGGTATACGAGACGCCCCTGAACCTCCTGGCCGTCCGCAGGGCGCTCCATGCTTACCACGACCGACAGCAGCACCAGCAGCAGCAGCACCACCACCACCAGCGGCAGCGGCAGCACTACCACCACCATCTGCACCACCGCCGCCACCGCCAGCAGGAGCGCCAGCACCAGCACCACCTGCAGCACCACCGCCGGCACCACCCCTATGACCAGCACCAGGACCACTACTATGACCAGCACCGGGATCACCCCCACCACCAGCCGCAGTATCATCATCACGATCATCCGCTGAACCACCACCACCACCAGCACCCTCCTCAGTAACACCCTCACCAGCACCCTCACCAGCACCTCCCGCAACACCAGCAGCAGCTGCAGCAGCTGCTGCCCCCCGCCCCCCCGCTGATTTGGCCCTGCTGTGGTCTCTTCGTCCGCGTGTCCCTTGGACTGGCGGGTAATAGGGCGTTCCCTTTTTCAAGAGACCACCAGTTGAATACGGGCCCCCCAATCGGCTGCTGTCTTCTTGTTCATCATCCCCATCCCCTTTGCGTTGCTTCTCCGGTGGACCAGCACTTTCCCTAGGCGTATAGGCACCTATGGGCCGACCGGGTGCTCCTCTATCTCTTCCACTGACGTTGCCTGGAACTCTAGCCTGAAAAGGAGTATCAAGAGAGCCAAAGGGCCTCTCACCAACCCCCGGCGTCAACAAAGAACGCCCTGTTCCTTCACTTCCAGCCCCTCCCCCTGAACCCCCCTGAGTAGAAGCACCAGCAGCTACAGAAGTCTGCTGCGCGGCCTTTTCACCTCCACCACCTTTCCGTCTATACATCAGTGGCCCACAGGGACTCGTTGGGGGTGAAGAATCAGAAGAAGTAAAGCCAGCAGCAGCAGAGGCAGCAGCACCTGCTGAGGGGCCCTCAGGGCCCTCCGGTGATTGAGTAGAAGGAAAGGTAAAGACTGCTCCAGAGTCACCATCGCCTTGCGATTTTAAACTGATGCGTGAAGCACTTCTTCTTGGCGCCGTAGGAGGAGCCGACAACTGGAAACTTCCTGATTGGCTTCGCCATCGGTATGGTGGTGATGGAGGTTGTCGCGATGAGGATCTTCCCCTCCGACCATCTGCACCACCAGCAGCAGATTCAGCATGTTTGTGTTCGTCATGCTTCCTTCGATGACTCCGCGAGGACCCCGTCCTTCCTCTGCCTGTTTTAGTAGATGAAGCAGCGCCAGCAGATGTGCTGGCTCCCTTCTTCTGATCGCCCCCGCACCCGCCCAATAGAAAATAAAGTGTAGGCGCCCCCTTTTTTGTCCCCCTTGAAGGTGCAGGGTCTGGCTCCTCCCATTCCCTATCCCCCCTCCCTGTATACATCAGAGGCACACGGAGGCTCTTTGGAGGTGAAGGGTCAGGAGGAGCGGAGCCAGCAGCACTGGAAGATGCATCAGCACCTGAGGAGCCCTCGGGGCCCTCCGGCGATGGAGAAGAGGAGGGAAAGGCAAAGGATGCTTCAGGGCTACCACCGACGACCGATTTTACACTGGCGGCTTCACCAACTCCTGAAGAGTGCGAGGGTGCAGGCGGCAAAGAAAAGCCTCCTGGTGGGCTTCGCCATCTGGGTGGCGACGGGGATCTGTTTCGATCCCCGTGTTGCCCTCTCTGTCGTGAAGGTCTTCCACCATCTTCGCTGCCACCTGCATCGCCAGAAGGCCTGCTTTCTGCCGTTGTATAACTAGAGCCCGAGGAAACTGTCTCAAAACTTTCCTCATCTGCTCCTTCCCCTCCTCCTTCGTCTTGGCCTTGGCCTTCGTCTTTACCGTATTTGTTTTCACTTTCATCAGATTCTTCTTCTTCTTTTTCGCTGCTTCCTTCTCCCTCCGTTTCGCCTCCTACTCCTCCTCTTCGAGTTCGTTGAACTCTTCCCTCTCCTACTTTTACTCCTGCCCCTTCGCCTACTCCTCCTCCCGCTTCTTCTCCGCTTCCTTCTGTGCTTGCCTCAGTTTCTTGTGCTGCTTCGTCTGGAGAGGAGCTGGACCCACCCTGTTCACCGCTGCTGCCCATGGGGCTACAAAGACCCAGCGGCGTCGTATCAAGGGGGCCCTCCTTCCCTGCGAGCCTCCTGGAGGTACCGCTGGGGCCCCCTAAGGGCCCCTCTCCTTTACCAGAGAAAACAGTTTCGATGTTGATTGCATGGAAGCAATTCACCATGAGAAATGCAATAAAGCTCGCTGCAGTGAACGAAACCACGAAGTGCCACAGCAGGTGTCTTCCTCCATGCGGCTTCGATGAGCCGACAGATTGTAAAATAGGATCCGAACCATACTCAGGATCTCGAGATGTAACGGACAGTGGCTCCATTTCCGTGTTCAGAGACTTCTATTCAATGTCTTCCACGGCACGTATATATACAGGTGAGCCGCTTATTCTTTACCGTTCCCTACTCTGTCTTAAAGAGTTTATGTACTCAGCCCCTTTAAGAACAGAAGAGGAATGCTCATTACCACACGTTGCTCCGCAATACTGAAGCAACGTAAAATCGGACAAGACCGCTGTAGGCAGCAGAAAACGTAGACCACCTCACAGCAAAGACAAATTAGCAAAATGAAGGGATATAAAGCATCAAAACCCCTTCAGCGGTAACATGGAGGAAGTCCCCCCAAACGGATCTCAACGAGAAAACGCCACTAAGAGGCAACCGAACCCCTGTAGTGGCGTTCTCCAGCGCATATGGCGGCTGCAATGCAAAAAACAACTTCAAATTATTATTAAAAGGCAAAATTTAAAAAGAAAAAAAACAAAGAATGTCCTACTCAAAGAGGAAGCGCGAGCTCGACGATCCCTCCCCATAAGGAAGGGCTTCGAAACCAAAAAGCACCGAGCGCCAGTAGGTGCGCTTGAACTGTTCCTTCAACTGCATTAAACGGTAATTCCTAATAAAACGGTAAAATAAACAAAAAGTAATTACTCTCCTTGTCCTCAGATACTCCTACTTGCGGTAGAAGTAGCAACCAGTGCTGCGGTTTGCTGGCTGCTGTTCACCAGCAAATAGACATTCGATCCAATACCCCTTATTACCCTCTAGTGCTTTGCAAAGGTGCAGATCCTTGCAAAGCATCAAATGTCAAAAAGTAAGCTTGGGAGACATCAGTTCAAAGGGGCGGGTGGCTGTGTGTTTGTCTTTATTTCGTGTCTAGTTGCGCTCTGCATCCTTCCCTGCATGCGTCTACTGTAGTATGGTCTGTCTGAATGTGGTATTTCACAGATGAGTTGGATTTGCATGCAGGCCTGTTCCTGTTCCTGAAGGCCAAACAATTGTGTTTAACAATTGCCTCAGGTTTCGGGAATGCGACAAGGAGGAGTTGTTTGTATTCACAAGCAGGTGGCGACGCCTCGTAGCACAGCGAATTGCACCAAGGTGTACTAGATCTTATTACAAGCCATCTCATCTCTGCATCAGCACCAGTCTTTGTTCCTGTCTTTATCAGGGCCAGACCATTTGATTGCTCCGGCGAAGGAAGCGTAGAAACGGAGGGGAAAATAATATTTTGTGGAAGTCTTCAGCACTTTGACCCTATTGCAGCTCATGGAGTCTGAAACCTCTACGCATGCAAAAGTACAACAATTGTCTGCAATGTTATCACAGACAGCAAACAAGGGGTTAGTTGTGCCTGCAGCATTTGCCCTAGGCCTTCGTCCGCTTTGCCCAGTACGTCTGGGTAAGGAAGAGAATCTCAGGTGTTTCTGAGTAATAGTTACGCTCAGTCTTTTGGCTGAACTACAGGTTACGAGGGTCTTCGGAATATATTGGGGTCTCCCGTTAAAAGTAGGGTCAAAGGACGCTGGCTAAGTAGTTTCCAAAACAGCTAGTTTCCCCTTACAGTTGCGAGCAGCAAGCAAGCCCTATCTTCACAGCGGGGCGGCTTGGTGTATCGGAAAGACTAGTACGAAAGGTGCTTGGAAATTGCAAAAGGGAACTCTGTAGAAATCTTCCCTAAGTCTTTTTGAAAAGCTTCAGCCCCTCTTGCATCGCGAAAGTTGATCAGGATTTACCCTATGGAGGTGAACAGCATCTGGGGAGCTCGTCTCTTCGAGACTAGCCCGATAACTGCAACTCACCCATGGAAAAATGTCCCTATGGGGATGGAGGGTGCTTCCGCTTGCACCGGCAGCCGAAGCCTTACGGGTGTCGCGATGCAGGGACAGTGGAAGAGTCTCTTGCTTGTGCGGAGTTGTATTTCCGTCTCTGTCTCGCGGGTGCACCTGAAGAGGTAAGTAGTTGCTGTTGTCAACTTTGTTGCTAAGAGGGAAAGCACAACTTTGGCGGTTGTATAGCAGCAGGCGTGCCGCTTTTCCGGAGCATACGGGGGCAATGGAAGTCTTCGAGACGGGCTGCAATGTAGGCTTACTCTTGGGCCGGCAAGTTGGCGTGCTATTGCAGATCTGAGAGAACTTAAACAGCGGAAGTTATCGATAGAGAGTTGCACTTTTAAGTACAGTGCTTGGTAGGCAGGACTCGGAGCTCCTATATCAGTGGTTCATTGTAGGGGTGCACCCCAGAGAGAGTCAACGCGCAGTCGGCTGGGCCGCGGAAAAGAAAATAAGGGGTGAAACGCTTGGCATTGCCAAGAAGCAGTGGTTTGCAACGGCACAAAACTGTTCATTTCCATGCAACCAAGTAGCTTCTTTGAGTTTCTTATCTCTGCAGCGGGAGTTGAAGCATATTCAGCGGAGCTAGAGGCCATTCGGAAGCGGCCACATCCTCTGCTCACCGCTTGTTCCTCAAGCATGCATGCATGCATACATGCATTGTACTACTGCAATTTTATCCCTGGATTCACTCGGGTCAGTACCCGTCTAGCGGAAGCCTTATCAGACACCCACCGTTGTGTCCCGTGCACGCCCTCACTGATTTTAACGAGCCCTCCTTCCTAGCAGCTGATGCCAATGAGATAGCGGTTGGGGTAGTGGTCTCTCTGCAAAGCAAACGACTCTAAGAAACACCAAATAATCGCCTGCTACTCACATTTTTTCATGAGAAGCGAAGCAGCCAGTACGCGAAACGGAGCTCTACGCGATATGGCGAAAAGTAAAAACGTCTCGGCATGCTAATGTGGTCAAGTTGATTGATGAAGAGTTTTTATGTTTACGATAGTCACACTGTCGTATGGTGGCCTTGCCGAGTGATGCAGTGCGACTTCACAGCCAAGTATATTCCAATCAACGTGACTCACTCACGCAATCTCCCGACTTCCTACCAGGCAGACTCTGTGTTTTGCAACCATAGCGCCTACAGAGGCTCTAGCCACCTGCTCTGCCCACCCGCTAACCTATCGCCTCAGCACGCCCAGACAGACCTGTTCTGATCCCGTCCAAAGAATGTACGACCCTTATCTATGTTGAAAACGCTAAACGACTAAGTATGGACGTTCGCCTTGATCAACCCAGGTGGGGTGGTCATCTCAGCACACCGACTGCTCTCTGTTCGAAGTCTGCCTGGCGAGTCATACCACACCCGAGGGCAACAGGCTAGGTGCAAGGCTGAGAATGGGTCCTTGCTGTTAGGGCCTTCCTGTGGGCATCTTCAACTCTGATGGCGACAGTAGTAATGCTTGTTGGCCTCCGATTATCGAAGTAAGGCACAGAGAATGCTAAATGCCACTTTAATTTCAAACAAACCAGCCAAAACATCACTAATGTAACGGCGTTTGTCGTGGGTTTATTTCGCCTAAATAGCAGCGGCATCGCGTGGGCTGTAGATATCCCCCAAAGGTCCCACAGGTAGCGGCAGAAAACTGTAAGGGAACGACACCCCTGCAGAGCTTGCCTAAACTCAATAACTAACCGGGGAAGCATTTCGAATGCTTCAGCCAGTGTAGCCGCACCTCAGGCTATTTAGTGGGCTTTAAGTTCCAGGCCCTCTTTTGAACTTCAGGTTTCATTCCATTTTTAGATTCAAGGCTTTGTTTCGCAATCTTTAGGTTTTATTTCTTCCGGATGTTTTATGCCTTTCTTTATCTTTGGAGCTGAGATTTTATTTTACGTTTTTGTTTAAGGCTTTTTATCTATCAACTTCAGGCTTAATTTCCCCGTCGTCTCTGGAACGGCGAGGGGCGGCGTCGCTCTACTTAATGCAGATGATCACCAAACACAAGTTGTGCCCACCTTCTGTACTTCTGGTGGGGGGAAATGCACCTCAGAAATTCAAAATTTAATTTCGAAATAGGCAGCTGCTGTTGCTTCTATCAGTGTAGTATGCAAAACTGGCTTGTACAGATTTGGATGCAATTAGGCGTTGCATCTTCTGCCAGTTGCTGACCGATTTCTCTCTATATAAGTACAAAGCGAGAAAATATATGTTGAAGTCTATGCGTAGGGAAGATAGTGCAAGTTGTTCACCAGTGCCTGAATTTACTGGCACGACCCATCACTTCATATTTGCATCGTAGTTAGGAAATCGGTCCCATTGCAATTAGATGATGCATTTGAAGGCGTCTACCACAGGTGCTCGATGAATACATATACACTGCACATTTTCTTCATGATGAGTTCGTTGAATATCCATCAACATTTCATAATGACTACCCCAGCTCTAGGGCCTGAGGTTCTACTTTTAAATTACCTATAGGATGTGCAGAGAGTTAAACTGTACTTTGAGAGCATTCACTCTGATCCTACCCTTAAACCATTCGGATATAATGAATTCAACCCTGTTTACGTCTAAAGCGTCTCCACCCCATCCTCATCTCTTAAATGGATTTATGAACGCCGCCAAGGCAGCGCACCTCATGAGGTGTAGTCATTTCTTCTAGCGGAGGGGGCCCTAAAAAAGGATGAAAACGTGATTCAAGAAGGCGAAAAAGCAATAAGAGAAAACAGAAAAAAGTAACTAACGAACAGACACCGAAAAGAGCTCACGGAAAAAGCCTACTCAAGTTAATAGAGGAGTTAGCAGAGATAAATTTCAACAAAAGCTGAACGTAAGACTACACATAAAACTAAGCAAGGTGCCAAAGACAAGCAGATACTTGAGTTTGTATTCACTCTGCGTTCTTCTGCCTTAGCTGCCTCCCCCCCTTCAACTCAGTATACTTAGCGCTTCGTTTCCCTGGGGTTCGTATTTGTGTAAATCAAATGCACCAATACATCTTTCAGCATTAGTTCGTTTGTTCGTTCATTTGCGTTGCAGCTAACCAAAGTCGCACGCTATAAAGAGCGCCTCTTTATGCAGTGCATGCGAGGGGAGTTCAAAAACTACAAAAACATGTTTAATAGAAAGCTGTATGCACATTCATACCAAAAACAAACGCTCGCACTGCAGTGGCTACTGTGCACAAATAAATGCGCACGTATATGTACATATATATATACATATACATATATATTCACCCATATATATAGATATAATATTAATGCCCACGCTAAAATGTATACATAATACATATTATATATATTATATTTATTTATTTGTATACATTAGCGTCTCCATGCACGCATGCATGTCTCTTGAAGGCCTTTTCTTTTCCTTGATGTCCCCCACGCGTTGCCGATGGCATTTGCTCATTTTAATTGCAACAAAAGAAGAAAGTTGGTGAATATTGTGTGAGTTGATTTGTGTTTAAATCTTGTGCCTGTTTCCCTTGGCGACTTTGTGTATCTTCAAAAGACAGGCAATAACCCGACCAAACATTGATATCCATTAACAATATGAATTACTTTTGTTTGTGGCTATCTCATTAATGCTCGTTAATGAGCATTCATAATGCACTGAGTTCAATCAGTGCGCGTTTTACTCTTCTGTCTTCTTCCACTTGATGAAGGTATCCATTTTGCCGTTGACGTGCCACCGAGCCAAAGTGAAATAAACCCAAAAAGCCCAGAAAGACCACCATATAAAATTCATCGAAATGTCTGACCATATGATTCCCCCAGGTCCATTCCAGTGTTCGTTATCAACAGAGTGCCGCCATTCATTAACAGAAGGATCGTAAGAAAATTTCGGAGTTCCATTCATAGAAGCCCTTGCAAAATCCCAATTCATATCCATTAAACGCCCAAAACGAACACAACGATGTCGAGATGTCTGAATAAAATTGCGTAAACCCCAATACAGGGGGCCGCCACCCACGGGACGCATTGCGCCAATAGAAACACCTGCAACGCAAACAGAGATACAAACCAAACATACTAACAGAGATCAAATCCATTAATGCAAACAAACAAATACAATTCGTTGCAAAAACTGCAACGAATTCAGCAAACAATACACAGGATGGTGAGATGCATTGACACCTTAAAAGATGCACGTGGCCAAGAGAGCTGAAAAAGCAATAAAGGCTGCAGCAGAAAAGGGATGAGCAGAATATGCCGAATAGCTCTCCTCTTGAGCACACAGGCTTCTTATTCGCCTATAGACTATTCTCCTACAATAATAAGTAAAGATTATATCGGGCGAGAAACACAACCCGGAACGCCGCACATGCACCGAAGAGCCATAGAGGAGCTGCGGCGGGGGTCTTGAAGGCCTTTTGAAGCATGAGAGGAAATAATTAAAAAAGGGATATTTGCAAACAAACACAAAAAAGAGATGTGCTTCTCACTGGCGAATGATGCAAGAAGAGTTAGTTGCCTCTCGTGGGATGAGATGTGCGGCTGCCTGCTCCTCTGGCGTCCGTCTTTGTGTGGTGAGCGAGGAGAATGAAGTATTTCAACGTTATAAACTTTCAAAAAGAAACATCAAAGGACTTTTTGTCTTTCTTTCGGTGAGCCTTCTCCCCTTCTGCTCCTCTCTGCCGCTGTTCAGCCGCTGCTTGCATGCGCGCCTTCGGGACTCCAGCTTCAGAGTTGCGGTCCTGAATTGTGGTTTTTGTTTGTTTTATTCGTTTTCTTCCACTCTTTTTGTTCCTTTTGTTTATTCATTCCTCTTCACTTCGGAGAGAAAGAGAGGAGGCGACGCGCCCCCTCCCCTCCGCAAGGCAATCTTGCATCGGTCTGTCTGGGGCTTTAGAAACCCGTTGCCGTTCTGCGATCTGAACCGGGACGGGCGACGTCAACTTTGCGAAAGTTGATTAAAATTAATTAAATTTACTCCATTTCTCCGTTCATTTCTCCAGAACGAGTTCAAGGCAATGTCGGTGAGCGCAGGATGAAGCCCGTGCTGTGCTTATTATTTTAGTCTTATAGTTTGAAGCTCAGTAGGAGGAGTTGTGTTTAATATACGAGTAAATAAAGAAGGAATAGAATTTTTCATGGAGGGTATTTTTGCTTCATTTCCGGTTTTTGTTCCTCAGCTTGCGCCTCTCAACCCGAAACCCTTCCTGACTTCCCTGACAGGGAAGCAGGTGATGGTGAAGTTGAAATGGGGAATGGAATATAAAGGTGGGTTTGTTGTTTAAATGTTTGAGCAGTTTGTTGTTTAAATGTCTGAATCGTCTGTTGTTTATTTGTTTAAATGTTTTCTTTTAAACCTTTCTATGTTCCCCGTTCTTGATTCAGTAACAAGGAGACAAACAGAACAGATCCTCTTCGTTTTTCCTTGCTATTTTTTTTCACATTTTTGATGTTTGAGTCCTTCAATACTTATATGTTTATATGTTGTCTTTTAAAGATTTTCCTCGCATTTGATTGCTCTACACAAGCGCCAACAGGACGGCTTTTCTCCCTGTTTCTTCCTTTCCTGCTTTCTTTATGTTCCCATTGGAGGTTTATTTAGTGCTATTCAAGATGCGCATCTTCGTGTCTTTAACCTCATGGGTGTTGATGCATGCAATATGCATAATTTGCTTGTTTATTAGGGCCTTTTAAAGGTTATTTTGTTGTTTTCGTCATCTGTTCCTTCCACGACAGTTTAGTTTTTTAGTATCATTTTCTGATTCGGTGATGATTCTGTTGTTGTTTATTATCATCCCTTCGTTTCATTATAATACTTTTGTTGTGTATGAGAATTGTTTCTTTCTACAATACTTAGGTTGTTTATTGGCATCTTCCCTGCTTGTTGCATTGCTTCTGCAGGCTATCTGAAGTCGTTTGATGAATATATGAATATTCATCTTCTCAACAGCGAGGAGTGGGTAGACGGCAGCTTTAAAGGGAGTTTAGGAGAAGTGTTGATTCGCTGCAACAATGTTTTGTATATTCGTCAGGTTCAGGGAGAAGACGATGCAGAAGAAGCTTCTTAATTCCCTTCCTGTTGTTTTGCTGTCTTGTTGCTGCTGACTTAACACGCACAGACAGACAGACAGACAGGCAGACAGACAGAAGACGCGTAATTAATTAATGCAACTAACTGCATTATTGTTTGTACTGCTTTTCTTCACCAAGAGGGAATAACAGAAAGGCCTGGAAATCGAAACATCGCAAGTTGCTGTTTCAGCATTCATCGGGTTCTTCTTTGAACGACAACGCGATTGCCCTTCTGGCTTTGAAGTATTTTGAAGTATATTTGATGCCAAACTTCTTCAAACTGTTTCTTAAGCTGTTCATATCAGTATAACGGCGGTTTCCTCCTTTATCTGCATCTTCCCCACACAATCTTCTCTATTGCCGTTGCTTTTTCTCTCTCACCTCTTCCTATGAATCTTTTATAATGAAGTTATTTGCAACTTAGGGCACCATAGTGCAGACGGAGGTCCGCATAGAAGCGCAGTCTAACTCAATTCAAATACATCCCCTGGGTCTAAGAAGATATTCGCCATCGACATTATAATTATACTTCCGCTTTCTGTCTCCATAAATCAGATTTTGTGAATTGAATTCAAACTCGACGAAATAAGGGGAAAACTCGCCGCAGCTGCTGCGCTATATGGTCTTATTTATTTACTGATGTTCGAAACGGAAATAATTAATGTGATGTTTGAAATAAAACTGAGAATTCAATCGAATTCAAGAAAGAAAGCAGATTTTCCCCAGGCAGAACGGTTAGTAAATCAGCCTCTGAGCGTCGTCTTGTCATTTCAAGGAACCTTGCCTTTCTTTTTCAATTATACTAGTTTATTATAGTAATATGAATCTAATTAATATTCTTATTTTAGAAGAAATATGACATTTTATTCAAGATGTTGCTTCTGAGTCGATTTGAGCGGTTGGTTTCACATTGTAGCGGAGGTAATCTTCTCCTTATTTTTTGTTTTTGCTGAAACGAAGAATTTAATCCTTATCATTTTAAATTGTTTTGTTTTATGGATTGGTCTGTCTGTGAATTGATTTGGAATATCACATCATTTGCCTTCCAATCGAAAATAATACACAGAGAGGTGTTGTTACTACAGGCTTTTTGTGTGCGGGTTCAGCAGCAGAGGCGTTCTTTCCTTCTCTCGCCTTCTTATTAGGTATTATTGGCCAAGTGTATGAATTAAAAAGCATTTTATTCACCTTTTCCTATTGTTTTCTCACTTAAAAGGAGAACTTTAACGCCTTCACCTTGCCGTCGTTTACACACTTCCTTCGTGGTGTTGCATGGGGCTCTGCTGTCTGTCTGCGTTCTTCCGCTTGAAGCGTCGGCGAAACGTTGCTCGGTCCCTTATTTATATGTATTTGTGTATATTATTTAGTTCATTTGCTCTATCTATCAAGCAAGGAACAGCGATATCTGCTTCCGCGCCGCAGCTGCTGAAGCAGCAACACGAAGGACGCCTTTGGGGCCCCCTACTTCGTTTCTGATGAAGTTTTATCTCTTCGTTTGATGTTTGCATTCCTGTGCCGTTGAAGTATTTCAACGCCTTTTCTCTCTTTCCTTTGATCTCATTCAGCTGCTCTTCGTCGTTTCTACAAGCAGCAGCTGCAGCTTTGCAAACAAGAGCAGTTTCTTCTTTAGGGGGCAGACAGCCGTTGGTTATATCTCATTTTGGTAGTCCCTCTGTTCTTCGCCTCTCTCGCGAGTTGCTGCGCGCGGCGAAGAGTTTTAAGAATTTGAATTTCAGGGATTACTTCGTTCGTAGAGTAAGGAATAGACATAAAAGATACGCAAACAACTCCATTTGTCGCGTTTGTTGTTTTGTTTTGCTGTTGTTTTGGTTTGCCTTTCAGTGCGATGTCTGCAGATAACAATTAGCATTCAGAGGATGTGTGGCCTGTTAAGAATAAGATGTCCTCGTTTACTCGCTTGATGATGAATGCATGCATGCGTACTTTCTACTGTTTGTTTTTTGCATGTGTAGATGCATGGTTTCTCTGTAATATTTGAATGCGTGCATACATCGATGCGTCTCCTGCTGTTGTCAGAGCAGTGCTCGGCATCTTCTCCATTTTGTTCATGCGTATTGGGGTGTCTATGATATGTTGTTATTGCGTGTACACAACTCCTGAAATGTAATAATAAAGAAGCAGCTTCGTTTATAGCTTCAAACGATGAAGAAGAAGCGTGCATGCATGCATACACTCGGCAGCAAGGAACTTATTTTGTTGTTGTGCTGAGTTTGTGTTTGTTTGCGTTCAGACAAAAGAGAAAATAAGAGAGCTGAGCAGCAACAAAGAAGCAGACTTAGAAAATGTGTTAAAAAAAGAATTATCAAATCTGCAGCGACAGGCATTGGTAGCAAATATTTACCACACGCCTACGATTGTTGTTTACAAGTAATAAAACATTATTTTTTTGTTTATATTCATAACTCCTCCTCGCATTTGTCCTTCTTCATTCTTTCAGTGTACAGACACCTGAAGCCGCACCTCAGCTGCATTTCTTCTTCTTTCTTCAGTCCTTCCTTTCTTTATTACTTCTTACGCCTTCAAACGGCTTTATTTTTTATCTTTATTTCCCTTTTTAATGGAAGAAGGAGAGGGATTCAAATACTATACTTTTTTTAATTGACAAGTTGTTGTGGATGAGAAGAAATCACCGCAACATGTAGACGATATTATTCATTGTGCGGTTCTTGAATATATATATATATATATATACATATATATATATATATAAACCTATACATATTTATATTTGTATAATATGATCTGTTATTACTGCAACAGCATCAGCAGCAATGTATGAATGCGTTGCTGTTGTGGGTTTTGTGATTTATTTGCATGAAGACATTTGAAATGAATAAAATTAAGTTTGCATTTCCCTAAAAAAGGAAAGAATAATAAATCAGAAGAAAAGAAAAGACAAACAACAGCTCGCCAGTCGCACTCGACAGCTGAACTGCAGATATCATCATATTTAAGTGTACTCACACTTAAGATAGCTATATATATATATATATATGTATATATATATTATATATATTAGTACATAAATGTAGACAAAAGATAAATAGCTTTATTATCTTTACAATGCCACTCTATATATAATATATACATATATATAATATATATATATATATATGTAGATAGATAAAAGATAAATAGCTTTATTATCTTTACAATGCCACTCAAGCTAAATTTATTGCATTAACACCAGCATATTATATCAATCACAAAATTAAATTTATAATGGTGAGAAATTACGCAATAAATTCATCTTCGCAGTGGCGGTCTATACGAGTTGCAGAGTGTATAAAGGAGATATTAAAAATACATATCAGTCTAATTAATTAGTTAGATTAATTTATCTACTTAATCTAATTAATTAGGTTAATCAGTTAATTAATTGATTAATTAATTACATTTCTTGTTGGTCTCCGTAGTCTACTTCTCGCGTTATGACTGGGGGGGGGCTGTGAGGGCGGCGTTCTGAATAAAAAGAAAGAAATCAAATAAAATAAATAGAATAAACACAAATAAAAAAGAAAAGAATGCAGACAGTCAAACGACGTAAACAAACGAAAGGAGATAGACAAGCAGAAGATGCAATATATATATATATATATATCTATATACACGTATATATATGCATATACAGTATACACAAAGATGTACAATATACATAGAGGAGTCTACTGATTAAAGCATATTTATATTTATATTAATGCATTCCCAAGGTTTTCAAATTGCAATACATAAATATATAAATATATATATTATATTGTTTAAGCATAATATAAGTAAATATACTATAAGATATATAATATACATCGAGATGCCTATTGATCTATTACTATTAATATCCTCACCAACTTCTCTACTTTCTCCTTCCCCAGAATTGTTTGTATTTTTTCAGCAACTTGCGGAGGCAAAGAAGCGAAGGCGTCTCGCAGAATATTTAATTCATCAACAGACTCCAACGGGTCATAGCGCAGTGCGCCATCCTCTCTGTAAATAAAGCATAAATATATATATATATATATGACAATAAAAAGAATATAATTACAAAATAAACGAATAGATTAGCAGGGATCTACACAAATATTTTCACAAACGCAGAGAAAAACAAAACAAACAAACACAAAGAAAGGTCTTTGTACTATAATCGAAGAAACACCTGTATAATATATATATATTAATGCAAACAATATTATTATCTCTGAATAATAATTTATTTGCAATATGGATAATAGAAAAAAGGAAAGCGAACACAGAGACAACAGCTTTGAAGAGAAGAAAGAAGAAAGAAAGAAAGCATATATATATATATATATATATACATATGCATATATAAATATATACATATATACATATATACATATATACATATATACATATATACATATATAAATATTATACATATATACATATATACATATATACATATATACATATATGTCTATACCTATATATATATATATATATGTATATGTATTGTCTATATATATATATATACATATATATATATATATATAGATATAGATATATACTTGTTGATTTGTTTGATACTTACGAGTCGAAGTCAAGGTCCCAATCTTCATCATCATCATCGCCCCATTCTGAGTCGAGTTTAAGAAGAAGAGATTGAGCCTTTGCGTGAAGCTCTGCATCTTGGGTGTCATCAAGACTTTGTTCGCTATCATTATCAGAGTTTAAGTCGCTGTCTGCTCCTCCTTCGTCTGCTTTATCTTTCATTTCCCTCAGTGATACACCGTGAGTAGCCAGTAAAGAAACTATAGCTTCCATATTATTCACAACACACTCTGGCCAATCAGAAGGAGATGCAGAGACAGCTCGGAGAAGAGGTGCAAACGCTAAGACAAATATCTTCCTCTGCTGATATCTATAGCAAACATAAACAACACAACCAATCAAATTAAAATTCAACACACAAAACAAATACATAAAATATATATTCACTCAAAATTATACACAGCATACGGTTAAGCCAGCGCTACTTGAGACAAATATTTATTACATATCCATATATATATATATATATATTTATTTATATGCAGGTATGTGTATATATAAATAAATAAATAAATATATATATATATATATATACATAGCTGACTGCTACAAATAATATATATATATATATATATATACATATATGTACATAA